CAGATTGCTAAAATTGCAGTGATCAAAGCTGTGGGCCATGAGAAATGGAAATGTTTATAAGGGGGCCACGCCTGACTAAAGGTTGGCGATGCCTGGTCTAGATGTGCTCCTGCTTTGGTCCTCGTCCCGATCCCTGATTTTGAGCTCTTCTCAATGTCGTGACTTTACATTCTCTTTTCTCCGAGCTAACAAATTACTAGTTGTGTTAGACGCCACTTCTCAACTGGCAGTGAGGAATCAGTTCACACCCAAGTCGTCAAGTATTAAATTTATAGGGGTCATTTGATCCCGAAACTTATGTTGGTCTAACCAAGTTGTCGAAACCTTCTCTAAAATTAGACGGTCGTCATTTTATGCCTTCGATATTAAAGTACTTCAATACCCAGTGACCGAATGTGATTGCATGTATACTGCCACATTGGCTCTCCTGTTTCCCTGGGATCTTCCTTGGGTTACACAAACAGGACCATATATTGATTTTACGGTCCATAAAGCTTATTTCCCGACCCAGCGGATTGTACAAAGAGCCACTTGTGGATAATTTTTCAACCAGCACCTAGACGTTTGTACCAGTTTTCCTCCAGAAAATTAAACAACCCTCTTCATCCACTACATTGTATCCTATCAAAAACACTAGTTTTCCTCTACCCACTCTAAATGTGGGCTTTTATTTTTACGTATACTATCTTACCGCAATTCGGTGTTACCGTACCTGTCCCACTTGCTTGCTGGCACCATACAACACCAGAATAGCTATTCGTACAAGCTAGGAACGCAAGTACTGCATCAGTCATTCGTCGAACGCGACCTTGGCGTCCTTGTTCAGGATGAGTTGGGTTGTTCCAAGTAATCCGCAAGGGCTTCGAAAAGTGGTAACCAGCACGTCCGCTTGCTACGACGAGCGTTCGGACAACTAAACACCACTATTTTCAGACAGATGCTGAATGCCTATCTTCGTGCCCATGTCGAATACTCAATGCAAGCCTGGCAGCCATGGCTGAAGCACGACCTTATTTCACTGGACCAACGTCAAGGTCGGGCTTCTGAATACGTCATTGGAATGCGCCATCTTCCTTACGGGCAGAGGCTGTAACCTTTGGGAGCATCCAGTGGGCAGTATCCCCGACTATGAGGCGACTTGCTTTTGGCGTATTTGATTTTACACAGTCCAAATCATGTGTGCCGTTCTTTACTGCAACTAAGCAGTCACAACAAACTTAGAGGCCACTCCTTGAAAGCAGCAGAACAATACAGCTGCCTGGCGTGCCGTAGAAACTTCTTTTCCATTCGTGTGTGTCAACCATGAAACGCTCTCCCCGAATCTGTTGTTTCAGCACCCACGCTAGCCATATTTAAAAGTCGGTTGGATGACACACTCCACCACTTAAATTTTGTTACTTGACGCTACCCTCCATCCTACTCCCGGGAAATACCTTGGATTTATTTTCTTTGCCTACTGAAGCTATGGAAACGCTCGGAGTGCAGGGCTACTGAATCAAAAACGATAAGTCCATTATTTTGACAGTAAAACCATTAACTGCTTTTTTCCCTTAACTTTTTTCGCTAACCCATCACACCACCCAACGGGGTTTGTAAAGCAATACTTCTTAACCTGGATAAAATCATTGTTCATCGTTCATTGACCCAACCAAAACTATCAGTATGTTGCGAACTTATTTACTTGAGCAATGTGTGCACACTTTACGTTTTTTATTTTTATTTCTTGTAACAGTTTTTTCATATACATCACCGTCCGCATTGATTGTGTAACATGCTGAAAATGCACCTACTTGGGTGCATGAAGCCTACTTTCACTTGACTTAACTTATAAAGGGTGACAAATGTAAGAGCGGAAAACATTCCAGAGAACGTTTCACAGTTCTGTTATGTGCTAGCTCAAGTGGGGAGAAGCTAAACCACCTGGTCATTGCTAAATCAGCTAGACCAGATGCATCAAAAAACTAAATCCTGTAAACCTTCCAGTCATTTAGAGATCAAGCCGATCTGCGTGGATGACTGCTGCTATGCCTTCTGTCAACGTTGCACCACTGCACAAGAAGATAACCCAGCTGTACTCAGGCAAGGCATGCGGACCTGACAGGTTGTCTGCTGTAGTCCTCAAGCAATATGCCAATTCCTTAGTCCAGTCTCTGAGCGAGTTATACACAAGTTGCGTAAAGCAAGCAAAAATCGCGGATGGTTAGTGGATTGCCAGCATAACGCCGGTAGCGAAGAAAGGGACGGGTAAAATCGGCCCGTTGCATCCACCTCACTGGCTTTGAAGGTTTTTGAGAAAAGCGTTCTTGGAAAATCGCTGACCCACTCCCGTTTGGACGACTCATTTCAGTTTGCGCATAGAAGGTCAAGATCCACACAAGATGCAGTGGCTTGTCGTCGCTAGGCTCTAAGAACAAATCCGCACGCGTCCGCATCCTCGACTACAGCAACGCTTTCGGCGGTGTTAACCAGTAAATTGCTGTTACAAGAAATATAGACGTCTAGCATTTAACTTTCCATAGCAAGTGCTAAAGCATTATTTCGACAAACGTACTCAGGTCAACAAGTTTGACTGCAAAAGCTCCTCACCACTTACCACAACATCCGGTGTCCTTCAAGCAGCTATCTTGTCACCATACTTGTTCTCTACTTACGTTATATCCGTAACTGCTCCAGCAGAAATCATTCTGTCAAAATATGCAGATGACGTTATAATCGGCATAAATCACCAAACCTCTGCCTCATCAGGCAAGCTGTAAAGTTGGTTGGACGAAGTAGTGCGATGCTCAAACTCCCGCTGCTCGACGCTGTACGCGTCCAAGTGTAATGAATACTTTTAGCATTTCACAAAGCAGCTGTTTGCCAGGAACTTGTCACGGAACTTCCCATACTTCAGATTGTGGGTGACCGTTTGTGCTTCTGTACGTCACTGAATTATCTTGACGTTACACTGAGCCAGGATTTGTCGCGGTCACTTCACGTGAATCAAATATTCACCAAAACCAGGCGATTTTCGTTTTACGTCGCTCGATTGTGATCATCCTGCGTACCACACAGTTTGATTCTGAAGTTTCACACTGCGTACATTCGACCACACTGGACTGATTGCTCTCCTGTACTTTTTCCAGGCCTGCTGTGTAAGCAATTCAAGCTGCTTGACAGGTCACTGAAGAATTTGTCTCGCGGCAGTGGTATGCCAATGCAAAATTTGGCAAAAGTAATTATATCTACCCACATTAATCCATGCACTAAACTTGCTTTCTTAATACTCAGTGACATTAGCCACTCTCTTCACGCTACTTTCCAAATGTATATCTACCTTGTCGACCAGACAAAAGTATGGAGCAATACGTGCTTGCATGAAGGCTTATGGTTTGTCAGGCATTCCCCATTTAGCCAGATTTTTGGTTCACCGTTGCTTTATTCAAGTACTGGCCGACAAATTCGTCCAGTGAGGTTATGTTTTTCTTTGAGCTTTTCCTTTTGCTGCTGTTCTGTGTCCTTTAAAGTGCTTGTTTGTCATGTCGGCAGCATATGTGTCAATACTGAAAATTCACCCTTCAAGGATGCATAAAAGCGCATTCTTGATTTGACTTAATGAATAGCAGAGCATTGTTTGTAAATTATTGTGCTCCACTAGTTAGATGCTTGAGTCTTCTCTGTAGTTTATTAGCCAAAGTATAGGTGAGTGTTCCCGGAAGTGACGCGATTGACCTCAGTTGTACACCACCGTTTACATTTGGAAGAGTGTGGAACATTGGAACGTTCGAGTCACGAATCAACATTCTGTCACTCTCCTCCCTTGTAATTTGATCCAGCTGTTGGAACGCATTCAATTTTTTATTCACTCTTTGGTTACTTACAGCTTTTATTTGATTTCGATGCTTCATAATGTTAAGGTGTCATCTAGAATCCGTTTCTCTTTCGCAACCTACTCTGCCTTACTCATTATGTCTCATACGCCCCGCGTCCGTGGGAAGTATGAATTGCTCGGCATTCAGAGATTTATTCACATTAATTTCCTGATGTGTTAATAGGTTGTATTGTCTATTGTGCGTTATAGCAGGAACGACTGTATGCCTCGTTTGCGCCGTGGTCTGTTCATCAATTTTATTAGATTATGAAGGATGCTCGAATTTGTCTTCTTAGACGATGTATCATCTAAGAGGAAATATGCATTGCACTGGGCACATTAGGAAATTGCTCACCTATGTGTACTGATACCAACAAAGCATTGCTCTTTTACAGCGGAAGATCGTAACAAACAGCTTAAATAGTCACCAGTTAGTTTTGCCAAGATAGACCCACGGTTTCCACACTGGTATGTCTCTTAGAGCTTGAGCAGCCTACGTTCCCGTGTCCCGTCCTTTGCATACATAATAAGCTGACACCCAAGTGTGTTTTGTTTGCTAACCCCTTGTCTGTTTGAGTGAAACCCCAGGGTGACCAGTGGCTATATGATCGAAGGGTTTTGAAAACTGGCTAAACCATCCGGTTGGGTTGATGCAAGAACTGCTCTACTGACCAAACGAAACTCTTTCCTCCAGTTTTTCCAATGTTTTCTGCGCCGCTTCGACTGACCTTCGAGATTTTATTGGTTTCCAATTTTCTCATTTTTCCATACATTTGTTTATTGACCTTAGCATTATCCGCGGAGTCTGACAGCCTAGAGAGCAGGTTCTTTGACCGGTAGTCATTGAGCGCAGCGGTTGACGTTCAGTCAGCCTATTTCTACCTGTGGTATGATGCAATACTGAGAAGTATCAATAGCGAATAAACACTTATTATTGGGAGTGACCGCTGTCCAGTTTGAGTTAAACCGCTCTACATCTTGAGAGCACATGTTACAACCCAAATGTGCAAGCCACAAACTAATCTTAGCGTTTAAAACACTCATGCTTTCCTCCCTTTACCATTCATTGGAAAGTGCCTACAAATAGCTTGCTGCCATTACTCAAGTACTGACATAACCATCCCCTTCTTCTTCTCACGCTGCCGCTCAGGAACTCAAAGAAAGACGGGATCGGCCCTTCCATTCTTGCGAGAGGAAGTGAGCTACTCAGATGGACTGCCCAAAAGGCGATATCTACTTAATCTCCCGTACGACCTGAAGCCACCTACCCCTCCTACGCGCAGTTGGGTGTGGACAAAGTTTTTGCGTCGATCGTGAGTTCCACTCTCTGCCCCATAATCTGATGGTCCGTACTTTATCAACGATGCGAGTTAATTACTGGGGTTCGGCACACAAGAGTCCAATTGGTATGCTGAGTATTGTACACATTGATGTTGTCATGAATTTCGTGGGGTAATTGTTCGATTTCTACTGTCCGTTTCTCGACAAATAGGTAGAGGGTGGAATCACTAGGCGTATTGCCGTGCTGCACATTTCGCAACATTGCAACCTATTGGCTTTTGACCGCTTGCTAAAGTGGTATTCCAGTCACGCCATCACTGGCTATGGCTGCTGGAGCAGATGGCCAACCCAGGAAAGTCCTTCGGTTCCTGCTAAGTCATTGCGATAGTTGGATCCACTTAAGAGTGGAAAAGTAGCACTCGAAGCATCTGCGTGTTCCGTAAGCCGAATTATGTGCATTAGCACAATGAGCATCGGTTCCTCATTGATTCGGCGTCTTTCACAACAAAAAGCTAATTGCAGGGTGGACGAACAAAACGCAGCGGCTAGGGTAATGGATCACTAAGCTAGTTGTTGTTCGATCCATGTGAGATTGTGGTGGACATCACTAGGAAACAATGTAGGTGGTTACGAAAGGATGATGAAGTCTTTGAATTGGTCTCGTATACATTAGTCATGTAAGTGCTAAATTGTGTGTGTGTGCAAGACCACATAAACATTCAAAATAGCCCGGTTATTATTAATAATGATATTACAGAATGAATAATTGAAGCTTCGACACACATATATTACGCAGACCTCGAATACGCCTACTACTGACGGTAGAGACCATTGTACAAAAATTGCACTAGTGCAGGTCCTCCTATTTCCGTGGCCGTGACTTGACCGTTCCCCTCAACCATAGCCGATGACCTAGTTGATCCGTTGCGTTATCGGCAGGACTAGACGCCGCGTAGATTGCGTTGTATGCGCCGGCGGAGCGTGCGTTAGTATACATCAGCACTAACACACACGCTCCACCGCGTTGGCTCTATGTCTAGTTGCTAGACGGTTAAGGTTACTACTCCAACTACTATTAGTACATCGGCAATGGCACAACCTTTATCACCGAATGGACAGTTGGATCAAATAAATAAATAAATTTTTATTTTCGTGAGGCACGCCTGCACAGGCCCGAGCATGGTAAGAGTACAACAGGTGATCAAGGAATGTACAATATTATCAAAGGATTGCCATATGAATATATGTGCGCATGTAGGCGTGTTTAACTGTGTTGCTTTGCTTTTTAAATATTTTGCTGCACCTTTGCTTATGTTTGAAGGTATCACCAGTGCTAAAGGCATGTTTGACGTCCGTGGATTTTAAACGATTATACCGCTAAGCACAGGGCGGTGACTGGTGGGTAGCGAGTCACAACGGCCACGTCACAGTGTTTAAAGGACATTGGTTGCTTTTTATAGGGAGAACGCTTGCCAGGGGAAAACGTACCACAACTTAGAACACTGTCGTCAAATTATTTGCTGGAATGGGTAAACCCGAACCATCCAGCTGACACCACGGAGAGGTTGTTCGGCTAGCCAGTCTCGAGAACAAAACAGCCTGTTGTGACGAAACCAATCCTAAACTATTTTTTATTATTCCAAAGAAATGTTATTACAAATATGATGACTTTATGTGAAGAGTTGAGTAGATTTTCCTTGGTTAATCGGAAATATAAATTAGTTACCCCGGCCTGCACCGATGGATCAACACAACTGAGGACCTTATCCTCCCATGTTCAACAGTGAAACAATGGGACAATGGTATAAAAAGCCAAGGCTTGACAAGTCGCGTGGGATGATTTGTGGGAATAACCTTCGTTCAAGGAACTTACACAAAAGAGCAAAACTCATTTGTGTACCGACTATATTTTCCACGTTAACACATAGGTATATCCGTCTACCCCGATTTCCTGGGGTTGGTGAGCACAATGTTTGTCTGCGTCTTGTCGTCACTCAATAGAATAGTACACTTGACGCGCATGCCCCCGTGTCATTCGGAAAATCCTCCATATCTTCTCCCTATATTCTCTCAGCGTAGTCACCGTACGCTCACTCCAACCGGCGTTGCCAACTCTACACAGTGATCCACCATACGTGGAATTATCTTCTACCACTAAAGTTCTAACTACCACTAACGGGTTTGACTTTCATCCGTGGTTGAGCACAAGCGGATAACTCATTCACCTTGGGCCCATTACCCTTCGGTGTAACTCCATTCGGTGCGGAATTCTCGCAGCAGTCGGAAAAGCCTGAGCTTACTCCAATCGGGTGTTTCTCAACGCATCTGTGTAGGAATATATGGTCTCACATTCTTTGTTTATCGTTGTGTTTAGCTTCATTTACCAAGTCCCAAACTTGACAGGCTTAACAACGATCGGTCAACCGACCGACCCCGTAAAGTGTGGTTACAAGGGATCACCGCTGACAGCGGGCGCGCTAAGATGATGCACGCTTATTATTGACTCGGGAAGCTGCACTAACTGATCATTTGAAAAACGCGTGACTTTAAGACTTCACGCCCTAGCCAAACATATCTCACCCTAAGATTAAGTGTGGGTCGTGTGATAAATTAGTGACTAGAGGGCTAGTTTGCAGCAATTGCTTGAAAACATATCACACAAATGCCTCAAGGTGGAGCCGATAAAAATAAGACGGTACAATAACACGACAGAAGCCCTTACGTTCTGCACAGTATGTAGTGCTATCCCAGGTGTTGGCTGTCTAACTGTGCTACCGAAGAATTGCGAAAGACGAGCGGAAGCAGGCAAGCAATTGGTGTTCGCCAGGGTTCCAACCAGGAGAAGAAACGGACAGCAATTGTATGTGAAAATAACATCCCGAATACACATTCATGCCTAAAAAGTGAGCCAGGCGTCCCAACATTAACCCGAAGACTAGGTCTCCATCAGTACCACCTCCCTTCTCTCTCTCCCACTAAGAAAAACATTGTCTGCAACGTGCTTGCTTTCACTACGGTACAGTGTGTTACACATAGTAGTTTGTCCGCCATTTACAGAAGACCCTAAGCTGCAATCGACCAAACATAGTGAGGAACCAGGTAATATATCCCTCAAGGGGCTCGGAGGCACCACCCAGTATAGTTCAATGGATCAAGGAGGTGTGCAAACCATCGCACTAGGTTAAGGTCCAGGCTTTTTGCGACGGACATAAATCCGTCGGTAGGTGTCAAAAGAATGGTTGGCGGCATTCGGTTTCAGATTTGCCTGTCACCGTGGCCAGCCACAGAACGACTGCGTCTACAGAGAGACCATGAGTGACTTGCGCTGCACCAGCCACAGTTCCATCCGCGCACCCCATCTCCAGTGTAAAACCGAAGGAACAAGACCGGGAGGCGTGTGGATAGGAGCCACGTTCCATCAAAGGAGCCGGACCACACTCCCTCACAGGCAAACACAAGCACGCTGTATTTGGGGAATCAACCTCACACAAGGCGGTGGCTGGACCGTAGTCCGCTCCACCCTGATTGCATGGAACCGCTCTTCGAGCCTAGCACGGCCACAAGGATCGTGCACCCCATCCCCTCAGCAACGACCAGCTGTCTCCTAGAGCCCGTATAGAAGAGGTAGTGGATAATAGACGGGTAGACACATTGTCAACAGGCACATCAAGCGCACCCACACCCGGGGATATCAAGCAACAGCCAGTCACTTGAAACGACAATATCAAATAGAAGAAAACGACTAATGCATACAGATACGATGACATAACTCTTCACTAGATGAGAGCATAAAATATTGATTACGAACGAATCCGCGATAAGTTCAAGACGTCAGAAAATATATTTTAAGGTAATGACACAAACGCAAAAATGTTATCGAACTTAACTACAATTAGCTCCGGCGACGTGTGCAAGTGTATAGAAGATAGTATAGGTAGAGATTAATATGAGAAGGAAAAGCATTAGTACAAAGTTGCAAACCCACCACCTGAAAAAGGATATTTAGCATGTAAGTACGCGGTTAGTAGATTGAATGCAGCGTACCAGCAAAAGCTGCGGCGGTTCTGCCTACGTTCTCAGCAGGACTCGTCGTCGTTTCATTGTTGGCCCCGAGTGGCCTCGCTCATGGCTCACTAGGCCTGCCTGAATCAGGCACTCGCGACCGCATGTGCTACAGCACCATGCGCTTGACGTCGATGCAGTACAACCCATCGGCGCTTGCAGCTTCCACATGTGTCGCTTCTTCTCTGCATGCATGAGGTCTTTCTCTAGAACTTCGGTAACTGCCTTCGTGATCAGATCGCGCCATGCACGCCGATCAATCGCTTTTGATTCCCATGACCTGCAATTAAGACTAGAACGTGAGAGGCTCATTTTAATCATTTCCTGGTAACAAAGCTTCGGTTTCCCCACATGCCTCTTCCCAATACTAAGCTGAGCATATAATAGTTGTTTCGGTATCCGCGTCGAATCCATATGGCTCACATGACCAAGCCACCTCAGGTGTCTAAGCAAAAGTATGCAGTCCACTGCATACATTCCACTTCGACGCAACACTTCCGTGTCCGCAACTCTGTCGCCCCGTCCGAAGCGTAGAATCCGTCGCAAACAATGCTGATGGAACCGCTCGAGATTTCGCACATGCCGCCGGTACATCGTCCACGTTCTACTGCCGTATAGAAGAACGGACAGCACCATGGATTTGTACACCATCAACTTCGTGTCAATGGTACGCTGATGGTTGTTCCATCATCGATACTCTAGCTTCCTGAATGCCGCGATTACGCAGCTCACTGTGTAGCTGCTGGTCAGTCGACATCACATACCCAAGGTAGCAGAAGTGCGAGGTGGTTTCCAATCCTTCAGCACCAATGCTGATTCGCGGCAATATTGAAGCTTGCACCGCCGGTAAAGATTGAAAGAGACAGACAGTTTTGCTTGTGTTGATGGTGAGTCCGAATTTGGCCGCTGTCGAAGCCAGAGCACTAGTCATGTGCTGCAACTCATCCGCGCTGTATGCAAACAACGCACA